AATAGCTATTGCAGACCAGATGGCACCTGTCTTACATGTCATCATGACATTGTTCTGTTATATTAGTGTTAGCTGCAACACAATCAAATTTTACATTCAGGTGTGTATGGAAAAGACTGATGGGACCAATGCAATGCAATGTTCTTTTCTTGTCAGAAAGAAAGAAAAGAAGGAAGGAGACACATTGACTGTATCATTGTATTTAAAACTTTCATAGAAAGTAAATTTAATCAATGACTATTCCTCCCCCCCCCACAACTGTTTCAGAGAATGTTTTTGTCATAACCCAAACCAACTCTAGAAGGAATAAGGAAGATGAATGATTATGGAGTAATATTAAATTCCCTTGATCTTAACTATCATGCCTGTAGGCCGTAAGATGAATTTGCAATTATCCCAATAGATCCAAATATTTTTCATAACCATAAATAGGATAAGAACCTTGTGTCCTTTGATTACTTGAGGGAAAAATACTTCATAAAATGTATAAGAAATAAAATAGGTGATCAATAGACACAAGATGGAGTGTTTTTTTTAAATATGGACACAATGTATTGCAACTAGCAAAGTTGAAAAGCAGTCTATGAAGAGAGATGTCAGACCAATACGGAAAATGATAATACGTGAATATGTGATTTTTAAATGTGTGTGTGTGTGTGTGTATATGTGTGTGTGCGCANCAAATTCAAATTCAAATTCAAAGTTTCAAATAGTGATTTATTTTCTTCCTTTTCTGTGGGGAATTTAAACCATTAACGTTCCAGGTTAAGAACTTAGTTGTCATCTTTAGCTCCCTGAAGCTTTTTAAGAGCCCTCTGGAAATCCTGAAGTTTGGTTTTCGGCCTGGCTCCACCCACTGCTTCTGAACTAAGACCTGTGGCTTCTTGGACGGTAACATGTGTTTGTTGTGAAGCTTGTTGCTTTTTTAGCTCTTGTTCCATTTGCCTAGTAATCACGCGGATTTGTCTTTGCTCCTTGGCTCCTTGTAGCTCTGAAAGAGGAAGTTGGTCCAGCCTTGATGGTCCTTGGGTGGCTTGCTGTCTATCCTGTCCTTTTTGTTCTCTTTCTCTGGGTCCAGGAGCGGGGGGATGTCCAGCCTTCAATTTACAATATTATTGTAAAAATCTCGAGCCTTCCATACTGAGTTAAGACAATATTTTTGCCCCTGGTAGGTAATTGCAAGTCCGGCTGGAGCCTCCCATCTGAACTGTAGCTGACTATTTTTGAGCTCATCGACTAAGAAGGCATAGTCTTTTCTCGATCTCAACATTTTAGGTGGTATTTCCTTCAAAACAGTCACCTCCTGACCCTCAAGTTAGTTTTGTAAGACTCTTGTAATATCAAATTCCTCCTATCTCTCGTAGCAAAATACACCACAATGTCTCTTGTGAGTTGCTTTTGTCTGGCAAGCCAGGAGTTAACATGATATATCTGGTCAATTTGCCATTCAAAATTCCCTTCTGGCCTTCCCATCAATTGATCAAAGGCTTCTGAGACGATCTGCTTCAAATTTTCTTGATTTTTTTTCTTGGAGGCCTCTTATCCTTAAAGCAAATTCCATCTGCCTATACTGCAACATTATAATTTCATTTTCTGCATCGCCAACCTTTTGTTGAACCACATCCATTTTCGTTACCAGATTAATATTAAAATCACTAAGATCTTCTAATCTATCTTCAATTCCTGAGACATAACCCGATAGGCATTTAAAAGCCTCAAGAATATTGTCTCTAATTTGCTGGTTCCGAGTCTGAACCGAATCCATAAGCTCTTCTGACAATTCTTTATGAGCAGCAGTATCTCTTCCTTTATTTTAATTTCCATCGCAGCTGCATGACTTTTTAAAGCCTTGGCTAAGGCCATGCTTACTTCTTTTTGCAAAATTTCTTGGGTCAAATGCTCCCCTGCAAGGTGGGGGGGAGTAATGACTGTAATTTAGTTCCATGAGCAGACGAATTTCCAGCGCTTTTAGACGCATGGGGGGGGGGGATTTTTGCTGCTTTGAAGCCATTCCAGATTTAATCTTCTCCACCCAATTAGTAAATCCAGGCAAGCCACTTATCCAGCAATTACTATTTAGTTTGGTAATAAATCACTTCTGTTTTAGTGATCTTTAAATAGCAATAGCAATAGCAGTAGACTTATATACCGTTTCATAGGGCTTTCAGCCCTCTCTAAGCGGTTTACAGAGAGTCAGCATATTGCCCCCAACAATCTGGGTCCTCATTTTACCCACCTCGGAAGGATGGAAGGCTGAGTCAACCCTGAGCCGGTGGGATTTGAACCGCTGAACTGCTGATCTAGCAGTAGCCTGCAGTGCTGCATTTAACCACTGTGCCACCTTGGCTCTTAGATGTTCTGAGCTCCGTAGAAATTGTCAGAGCCTGACCCCCTCCTACAGAGCTGTTGGGCACCATTTTCTGTGTATTTCTAGCAAGTAAATTGTCAGAAGGAATTCTTTAAAAAAATGGTGTTAAAGATTTATACATACAATTAGAAGTTCACCAGTATTAGTTCTGCCTGCTTTGAAATCAGTAATAAATCAGTCTTTGAGCTGAGGGTGGACATGTGCCTTCATTCTGCAAAAAAGGCAGAAGAGGTCCTTGACACGGAAAAATCACTATGTTGCCGGGTGGCTCACACTTCCCATCCCAGATTTATGTTCTGGGGGGTGGGTGGGTTAATTGGAGCGCTACCCAAACCGGAGAAGAGGTAATCAAACTGCCAAACAGTTGATGGATACTGTTTAGACAGTTTAACGCAGCCAAGGATCCGGAGCTGTTAAAAACAACAAGCCCCTCAGGCCCCGCCAAACCGGAAGTCCAACGTACAACCATTTGTTAAGTGAACATTCAAAGTTACAATAGTACTGAAAATGTGACTAATGAATAGTTTTCACACATTGTAGCATCCCCGTGGTCACATGATCAAGATTTGGGCGCTTGGCCACTGGCATGTCCTTATGACAGTTGCACTGTTCTGGGGTCATGTGATCACTTTAACCTTCCCAACTGGCTTCTGACAAGCAAAATCATGGAGGAAGCCAGATTCACTTAAAATCCACAGTGATTCACTGAACGGTAGTTCTCCAGTGTGCTGCTTGGAGAGTCCAAGAGTGGGTTAACACAGCCTATCTGCCCTTGGACTGAGTAACATTTTTCTTGACTACGCCCCCCTTTGCCTCCCTATGTTCAGTTTAAAAACTCAGTCCACCCATGAGGACTGTTTTGGGAGTTCTCCAGTCCAAGGACAGATAGACGAGGTTCCCAAATTTGATTCTCACCACTTGTGTTTCCTGTTGAGGATTTCTGAATACCTTAATTATTGATTCCATTGCTGAGAAGCTTCTGGGCTGGTGTCCTTCTTCTGTTGGTCGCAAGTGGTAAGGGGACTGGGAATCGCTTGTCTAGCGGCCGCTAGCGAGTGAGGGGTGGAGCGAGCCTCGTCACCTTCGTATCTTCCCCGGTCACCGTTTATTTGGCTTGCGGAGTGATTGCGCTAGCCTCGGTGATGCTCCTTGTTTGCCCGGCAACAGCGGCGGCTATTATTTGGCTTTTTGCGTGCTTTCTACTCTCCAGCGGCGAAATTGGCAGGCGGCAGCTGCGCTCGCAGTGGCCGTCATTTTGACTCATTCCGACATTGCCTCAGCTGCGTGCAGAAGGTTTGCAGCCCGGAGGAAAGAGAGCCTTAAATTTGGAGCCATGAAGAGAGCGAGAGTGCTTCCCAGCCACAGAACACCGCTGGGAGGCATGGGAACTAATCCGGGGTGCCGGCTAGCCTTGTCCCTCTCTAGTGAGTCTCGGGGACCCGAGGGCGGTCCGGGAAAGGATTCCGTCCAGCAGGCAGCCCTTTTCCCCCTCCTAATTATCTTGAGACGCACTTGAGCCAGCTGGCCAGTGTCGGTGTCCTTCTACTGCGCAGTCTATCAAGCCAGAGCCTTAATTAACATCAGTGACCTGGGGCAGCATGGCTGACGACTCTGTGGAGGCACAGGAGGAGCAGGCATGGCCCTCCAGTAAACGCAGTAGGATGGATCCTTTGCCTAAGGGGAGTAAAGGGAGTAGGGGCACCAGTAATAAGTCCTCCCTGGGACCCTCAGCACCCTCTGATAGGCCCAGAGAGGGTTCCCGGCCTTGTAAAAGCGTGGAGACCAAGGGCCCGCATCAGAAGGCCCAGTCTCCTCCGGATCAGGGGGCAGCTTCTCCCAGGGGCCCATTCATGGACAGTGGGGTTGACAACTCTCCTTCCATTAGGGGCAGTAGATCTCCTTCTATGGAGGAGGATGACAACATGGACCCTTCCTGAGGCTACCCAGACTCCCCCAATTCCTCTGTTAGGGAAGAATTGGGGCCCTTCCAGGCATTCTCCCCACAGAAGAGGTGTCCAGGCAGAGGTAAACATCATCTGCATTCCAGTAGGCATCGCCCAAGGGAGGATAAAGGGCCAGCGTTGTCAGCAGAGATGAGAGAGATTATTTCTCTGGCAATCTCTCAAGGCATTGCTGAAGGTATTAAGCAAAAGAGCTCCAACAAGTCAGGCTCGACTAAGTCCAAACAATCTGCCAAGGCCTCTTCTTCCTCTAAGGCTGTGGCCTCTCCTCCCACTTCTGTAACCGCTTGACGCCTCCAACTCAGAGGAGGAGAGGGCTGAAGGATTTGAGCTGTTGGAGGAGGAAGATCTCCCTCCGGACAAGCCAGCCTTCACTGTCCTATTTAAGCTGTCCTTGTTTAAATCCGTACTTCACAAGGCCATAACGGCTACCGAAGTTGGTTCTGCCCCCAAACCTGATGCTGTCCCAGCTTCTTCCTCCAAAGACCATAAGCAGGGACTATTCAAGGAATCTGTTCCCACTCAGGAGCTTATCCCACTGTCAATCTGGAGAAGAGCCAGCTCCGTCCGACCATGCACATCCAGCACCTGAGCGCCATCATCGATTTGATCTCCTGCCAGGTATTCCTGTCCCCAGAGCGTCTGGCCAACCTGAGGACCAGGGTAAACCAATGCCACCAATCCAGGTCGGTGCCGATCATCAAACTATCCCAACTCTTGGGAATAATGATTTCATGCCTGAAAGTAGTTCCCTGGGCTCGTCTCCATGCCAGGGAACTGCAATGGTTTCTTCTCCCAATGCAAAGATCCAAAACCAGCAACTTCCCCAGATGAGTGCGTCTCCCACAGAAGGTGATCCGATCTCTGGCCTGGTGGAGGATCAAGGCGATCGTAAGAGGGTGTCTGTTCAAAGAACCAAAAAGGATCATTGTGACCACAGACGCCAGCCTTCTGGGGTGGGGGGCCCACTGCCAAGGTCAATTCACCCAGGGCCAGTGGCCTCAGAGGGAGGCTGCCCACAGCATCAACTGGCTAGAACTGAGGGCAGCCTGACTTGCTCTGCAACACTTTGCATTCCTAATAAAAGGAAGACGTACTTTTATTGACAATGTGGCAACGAAAGCCCACATAAACAGGCAGGGCAGCACCTATTCCAGGGGACTCATAGTCAAGACAGAAGCTCTGGGCAGGTGGGCGGAGCGTCATCTGGCGTCTCTCAGAGCCGATCACATCTCCGGCACTAGCAATCGGGAGGCAGATTGGCTGAGCCGACAGCGCATCGATCACTCGGAATGGCGTCTACATCTGGACCTGTTTCAACAGATCGTGAAGAAGTTCAGCAAACTGCAAGTAGACCTGTTCGCCACACACTCCAACACACAACTGCCACAATTCTTCACCTGTTATCATTCCCCTTTGGTGGAGGGGACGAATGCACTGAGATGCACGTGGCCCCGAGGACTGTTATACGCATTTCCTCCTCTATCTCTCATTCCATAGGTGGTGGCCAAGCTTCTGGCGGAGAAAGCAGAAGTTCTCCTGGTGGCGCCATTCTGGCCCAGGAGGTCCTGGTACGCAGACCTTGTCAGCCTCTCCGTTCAGAGACCGTGGAGAATTCCTCAGGACCAAATATCCCTCAGCCAAGGGGCCATCAGCCACCCAGATCCCCAGTGGCTAAAATTAGCCGTTTGGCACTTGAAGGGGACCTCCTGAGGAAACAGAACATTTCTGACAAGGTCATATGCACCATACAAGTGTCCAGGAGACCATCCACCACCAGAATATATGATGCGACCTGGGCCGCCTTTTCCTCCTGGTGTAAAGATAGAGGAATTGTAGATTTTTCTGCTTCAGTCCCTCACACCCTGGACTTCCTACAGGAGGGTCTGGACAAGGTCCTGGCGCCCAGTACACTCAGGCGTCAGGTTGTTGCCTTATCTACCATTCTGGCAAGGAGCTGTTCTCGGTCTCTGAGACAATACCCTCAAATTAAGAGTTTCCTGAAGGGCGCAGCGAATATCAGCCCGCCGACAGTCCATCGATACCTGTCCTGGGACCTTCCATTTGTTTTGAGAGCTTTGACGGGTCCGCCATTCGAGCCTCTTCGTACGTCTAGCCTGCGCCATCTGACCATCAAGACAGCCTTTCTGGTGGCTATCACATCTACCTGCAGGGTGTCCCTGTGGAGGACCTGTGCGTGGTTCACACTGACAGGGTTATATTGAGACTTGATCCTTCATTTATCCCTAAAGTCAATTCTCATTTCCAGAGAGCTCAAGAGATAATTTTGCCTAATTTTTGTCCTAGACCGTCTCACCCTAGGGAGCGTGATTGGCATAAATTGGACGTGAGGCGGGCCGTGCGTATTTATATTAAGAGGACTAAGGAGTTCCGACATTCCGAAGCATTCTTCGTATCATTCCTACCTGGGTTGGTAGGCCGCAAGGTCTCATATCACATCGTAGGTCGTTGGCTGCATGCCTGCATCAAGCTGGCATATGAACATCAGGACAAGACTGTTCCAAATAAGGTCACCGCACACTCTACCAGGAGTGTGGCACTCTACCCAGGCATCTATTCTAGACATTTGCAGGGCAGCCACGTGGGCTTCCCCCACTGCCTTTATAAAGAACTACAAAATAGACACCTTTGCTTCAGCCGAGGCCTCCTTCGGAAGAAGAATTTTCCAAAGAGTTGCTGAGAGTCAGGTAGCCTCGGCCTCTACCCGCCCTGGGACATAATCACTTGGGCATGTGCCACGCTTGGACTCTCCAAGCAGCGCACTGGAGAAAGACCGTTGGCTTACCTGAACGGTCGTTCTCTGGGCACTGCGAGGAGAATCCAAACCCACCCAGAGGGTTTTCAATCATAAATGATTGTGCTATTGACTGTGAATTCTTACCATTCTGTTGTCTCTTTGTTTTTAAACTGAACATAGGGAAGCAAAGGGAGGCGTGGTCAAGAAAAACGTTACTCAGGCTGTGTTAACCCACGCTTGGACTCTCCTCGCAGTGCCCAAAGAACGACCATTCAGGTAAGCCAATGGTCTTTCAACTCACTTAATTACTATATTGCTTAGCAACAGAAAGCGTGGGTTCAATTGTGGCCGTAAGTCGAAGAGGTTGCTANGTCTAAGATGGTCACAGTTTTCCACCCACACCAACCAAGTGTTCCACTACCAAAGCAACAACCTAATCTCCCCCACAAGAGAAGCGAGTAAGATGGGAAAAGGGAACAAAGGGACTATTGTGTTAATGGCTTCAACATTATAACAGAGGAAAATGAGGAAAATTAGGCACGGTTACAAAATTTATCTCTCCCTCCCCCCTTTCCCTCCCATTTCTTACCTGTTAATAAAAACAACTGGTTTTCCAATAGCAGAAAATGTATGAATTGTACTGGAGCATTAGAAAGAAACGGAAGCTGGTTAAAACACGTTGCTCAATGTGGTATTTTAAAAGTCAGCTCCAAGTGAAACATTTTGCATAACTTGAAAGAGTAGATATTGGAAATTGTGCTTTAAGTCTGCATCACGCTTAAGAAAATAAAAGCCAGGGATACTGGCTCTTATTGAAATGTCTTTAATCAACTTCCTGTCTTCTGCTTTAAGAGATAATTCATACTATAATGATTTTTTAAAGTATTTTTATTATCTGAGACCAAAATATTGAATGTTTCCAATCCATGCTGCATCAACATTAAAGGAAATGATCCATTTCAAACAATATACTTCATATACTTTCTATTTTTTAGCCTCTTTCTTGAACTACATTGCTCAGACCGTACTATTATAGTCACCCATTGAGATTTGCCAGTGCTTGCATAGTATTAATAGTAATTGGGAAGTGGGAAGGTTTATTTAATCTTGGTGCAACCTAATCCTGTATTTATGTTACTTTAGTTGATCAAGAAGCAGCTGGTGAACTCCATCAAAGCCCTGCAGAAGCATTATGTGACCTCTGATGCTCTTGTAACAAGTGATGATGAAGATGCTAATACTCTTTGTTGTGTATTGGAGGCTGTGTTTGTGCATGGTTTGAACACTAAGCACATCAAAGCAGAGGTTGGAGCAAAAGGGAAAAAACATGGAGGGCGACTTCCTCAGCCAGTGTTTTGGACTCTGCTAAAATCTATTACTCACAGGTGAGACTGAGAAATGATGCAATTTTGATTTGGGAAGTAACAGTAGCCAGTAGCCGAGTCGCCACAACTAGCGGGCGTGGCTTGGTGGGCATGGCCAGCTCTGCACCAATCACTGGGTGGGTGCAGCTGACTCGGGATGGCTGGGTCAGGACGGAACAAATCACACACTGGCTTGTGGAGACAATTTGGTGTCCCACAAGATCCTCACTTCCTCAAGGTGCTGGCAGCCAAACACATGTTCACGCACACACACATACCATTCCAAGTTTGAAGATTTTTATCCACAGAAGAAGAACCCTTCTCACCAAGCCCACACATGATCCATACTTTGTAAGTCAGATATGGATAAAAATCTCCAAGCTTGGAATAGTGGGTGTATGTGCATGCACACATGTCCGTGTATGAGCACAACATGCCAAAGGAGACATTCTTCTCCCAAACCCAGACAGTATTGGCATTTCCCTGTCCAGTGCCCCCTCCCAGCAAAGCAGGAGACAAAGGCTGCTGCTGTGTATATGGAAGCACAAGGAGAAAGTTTGCAAGAAACAGTTTCCTCCGAGTCCAACTGATAGATCTCTGGAGAGCAAAGGAGGAGGCAGGGGAGCAGTGCTCCCTGGTTGTGCATGAAGGAGGCTGGCTGTTCTCGAAAGGGAATCCCCATTTCCAATCACAGGTAAAAATGCCGGCTTGTTGAGGCAGCCTTCCCTCATGCAGCTCCCCATCCACCAGC